ATTAGCTGGCCCCCATTTTCTAAAAAGAATCCTAGGGAATATGCGACTTTTGCTCGAGGACGAACTTGTGAAGAAGACGCTTGTTATTGTTAAAGGTTCTCCCCAACACAGACATGGCTGGCGTTTCAGAAACTCCAGCTAGCATTATCCCCTTAATAGTAATGTGTATTCGGATAAAATGATAGGCTGACAAAATTGCTTTTATAAGTTCGCTTTCGTTAAACTTTCGCAATATATTTTGGTGCTGAAATGCCGTTTACTCCATATCCATCACTCTTCAGGTATACAGTAGCATAGCAAATTTTAAAACCATTTTTAACACTGAGATTGGTCGTATCGAATATGAAGCACCTCTATGGTTTCCCGTGCTGCTAGCAGAATTAAGTCTAATTCAATAAAATGTTTACAACAAACACATCATAAACACTTAAACGCAGTTCCTTCTAAACAATTTCCTAGATATAGATTTACCAAGCGCTATAAATGTGAAAATCTAAAACATATCGTCATAAGTCTGCCACGATTGGGATCTTATTCTATTAACATTGAAGCAATAGTATACGCATGTATGGTGTTAGCTCCAAATGAACTCTGTCTGCGGTCAATCCTCTGCTACCCCGACTTTTAATACGGATTTGAAATATGGCCCAAGACGCGAGGAATATACAATATAATGCGACAGCAAGCAGTACCTTTCGGTCTGCCTTGGTAGATTCCTTGTGAAAACCCCTTGCAACCGTTGAGGCCTTTGACTTGTATTTAAATATATATATATATATAATATATATATATTATATATATATAGGAATGAAAAGCTCGTTTAAAAGTGTTTCAGTAATTTTTGTCAAATCGAACTGCATTGGCGTCACTGCTGATACGCAAACCCTTCCACGGAATAAAGTTTTATCAACATTATGACCCCACGCGAACCTCATCGTAAGAACTAAAACAAGCAAGAATATGTATTCCAATAATAATTTTTTTCTTGCAATAATTGCATATATGAATAATATCTAGCATGTGAGTCCTCTCTAGGTTAGAGGTTGCTATACGCGACCACGGTTTCACTTTTACTGTTGCCGCAACAAATAAGGGACTCTTCTTTCTTTCACCGCTTGAGATCTACACAATTATATTTTGAGAGAATAGTTTCTGAATATAAAGGAACGCGCTACCCACCCTGCTCTTCTATTATTCGACGCTCAAAGACAAGCCGACAGATAAGCACAAATTTTTCCGCGCAGGAAAAAAGGTGTGCAGGGTGCACAGAGCTCTCGTTACAGGTGTGTGCTTGACCTAAGGTGGATACACCTTCAGCGATATTTAAAAGCACAGACGACGAAATATATCTTTCCGCCAATGCCCCCGCAGTTCCAGGATAACACTCCCATTGTCAAACAATAAAACTTCGTTAAAAAAATGTTCGTCGTATGACAGCAGCAACCAAATTGAAATGAAATAGGACGCGGGTTCCTATAAAAAACATATCCAACCATTGTACACGCTCGTTTCGCTGAATCTGCACGAGGGTCCGTGCAACGCCTGTTAACCTTATGGGTTCCCTACATAGAGTACGAACCAGTACTACGAGCATTTCTACGACGGCTATAAAAACAATCCTATTTATAATATTGTATAATCGAACATAACCAATAAGAACAGTGGCAGTATAATAGGTGCAGTTAGGTACAGTGGATGGTGGGCATGTGCTCATTTAGTAAGGTTGCATTTTATAGGCACTGCTTGGCGGCACGTCGTCTCGCCCGTGATGACGGTAAGTAATTGAATAAGGACATTCCAGGTAATCACTGTGCTATAGATATATTTATCAGCTCCTATCTTTATATATGTACATATATATCGTTTCATACACCATTGGATAGCTATGACTGAATTAGTTCGCTAAGTTTGATCGGTAGCCAGTTTTACGAGTTTTTGACGTGTCCGTTATTTAGGCCTTACAAAATGAATGCCCGACAAGTATTGATAGATGCTATAGGTATAAAAAATAACTGCGACTAATGAACACCCCCCTGTTACTTTCCATTCAATAAGTGTTATATTTAAATATAAAGTGGCTTGAGCTGTAGAACTTACGGACCCTAGAGAGGTTGCAGATGTGTAAAATTCACATATTCAGTAAGTCCAATGAATAATACCATTCAAAACAGCCTTACATAGCTTAATAGGACAGCCATTCATTTGTAAAACTAACTTATCTTCTCATTAGCGCTTTATTTCGAGCGCACTCTATTCGATTTTGCTGTTGGACAACGGTTGCGAGGTCCTCATTACACCGCAGAAGCTGCAGTAACAGTTGATCGTAATGATGCATATGCTTGTAGTAAATACTCGTCTCGTCAAGGGGAAGAGGAGGCGTAGACTTTTAGCAAATCGAATTCGCGTACTTACTGTTCCCTTCTTCGCGCAAAAATAACGACATAAGGCTCGTTTTTAAATTCGAGCGTGTCGAATAAATATCATAGGTCGTTGCCCTCAAGAAAGCCTAGTTTCAACTATATATATATATATACATATATACTTGTACATTTAGCAACGGCGAATCCCACAAGTTACGTTTCATGCTGAATGGCCTTATATTAGCATGTATATGTATAGCGCATCAAGAAAGACATCTTTTGCAAACGAAAGATTTCACTTTAAGGTCGATTTTCTGTTCGCGACAGCTGGGTCGATGTTATAGAAAATCAGCTTTTTGCGAGCAAGTTTTTTTTTTTTTATTTATATAGCTACCAAGTGTCTACATGTTATTCTTATTCAATCTATATACTATTATGCTACTTATATGTATGTATGATCGGCAATAGCTTGATATATTCGGTACAATGTCTCAATATGAACTGAAACCGGAAACAGCTAACGTAATATGAAAATGTTGGTAGTAGAGCAAGTAAACGTTTTACTTCGCGGGCTCATTAGAAACGATATTTTAGATATGATAATATACCCTAATCCTCAAACTTCGATTTTTCGGAAATTTGCTGTTGTTTAAATAAAGTGAGTGTCGACTAATTTCAGTAATCGACGATGCCGCGTATTACCTAACTGCAAACTGAAACCTAATTCCAGAACGCTAGTCATAATAAAGGAGGAGCCTCTGCTACAAGCAAACATATCAAGATTTTAGGCTCACAATCTAGTCCTCACTTTTAGAAGCACTTTGGGGCCTGTGTTAGGTATTATATATATGCGTGTGTTTGTAGCTTCGCCTATTGGTCCACAGTAATAATACATGTACGCTTGCATTAAAACAAAACATGTGGAGGCGTGTCACTAGCACTCACCTCACCTAAAAATACACGAAGCTCGCACATGGAATCGAAACATCTCCACTTGCGTTCCCTATTGTTTACGTTTTAAGTAGTTATCCTCCCTCAGCTTTACAATAATAATTTGCGACGCAGAGAGCACGTTTTAGCTCAGACGAGCTCAAGACCAACGGGTGGTTTTTCGTTTGCTATACTACTAATGATAACCACATCACAGTCACAACAAACAACATTACACGCCACGCCAAGATCGCGCCCTTCGATAACAAAGACGATAAGTACTTCTGGGACACATAGTTGCACGCTTTCTCTGCTGATTTGATTGTTGTGAACTGAAACAAGTGAACATGCTAACTGCTATTGCTCTTCCTTTTGACTCAATCACGCTCTTCATTTTCAATCTGCGGTTTATTTCCGGCGACGTCCAGGCACAAGCTAAGCAGCTTGACACTAACTTGCCAGATTAGAAGGCACAATTTTTTGCTACCATTTCTACCGTTATCAATCTGCTGCTACGCCATTCTATAGGTGTTTCTTCTTTGATCCTAGACCTTCAACAGTTACCCGCTTGAATACTGATTAGAAATATATGAGCAATAAGACCGAACGAAAATGTGACAGATTCCGTAATAAACATGTGTGAGTTACTATTTAAAGGAAGCATTGATAGTACATGCATTTACGTAAGGAGATTCGTAACAATCCTGTTACTAAAGTATGATCATTAAGACGACCACAATAACCCATAACAACAATTTCCTTTCCCGTTATTTGCTCGGTTGTCTCAGCTTATTTGATTTCATATGCCACGTCCATTTATTTTGTTGTTCGTAAATCCTTCTCTAATACACATCATCCCAAAATATTAATGCCCTATCTAATGGTAGCAAATTGTTTAATCAAAATCAATAAAGAGACTTCATTTAACTTTGAGAACGCCGCTGGAGAAGAAATGCCGACAAATCCCTGATAGGTATGATATGACAATCATTTTCTGAGTCTCAACTGAGGCTGCTGTCGCAAAACGCAACATTTTATTTTCGCAAAGGCGTGATTCGAGAATTTTGAGCGACTCCGTTTCGAATCCGTCACTCCACTGTTGGGCTTGATTAACAACTGTTGTCTGGCATTATTCGTTCAGTCACTACCAGTTTATAGAAAAACTTCTTCAAGACTTTGTTAAAAGGCCAAGTCCACTTTTGCCTGTGTCCACAGTCTAAACTAATTAACCATTTGCATGAAATTAACAACTAAAACAATAGTCTACTTATCTCTTTGACACTTGTGGGTGGGACCTTTGTATATGTAATTTCTCGAACAATGTCGGCATCTAATATGTTTACACGTATATTTACCAGAAACATTCGATCATCTAAATATAATCAGTGCAACATGCCGCCTCTGATAATTCCTTAAATAAAAGAATCTAAACGTTAGAATAATGGCATAGATAAATAGATAGCTGCAGCAGGGACCTCGGGATTAATCAACGTCGTTTCCTATTTTTCTGTGCCGATTTCCCGCCGCCCTTTGATAATGACACAGTTCCACTCCTAATTATATACATGGACAGCTAGTCTACTGAGTGCTCGCTCGCCCAACTCAAGACACTCGGTGATTGCGACTGTGTGATCGATAGTAGTGAACATGTATTCGAATACTTTGACCAAGAACAAATCACTTTTCAGTTGTGGGTTTAACAGTACTTACTTCTTCGATGGTGATCTTTACAAAAGAGTAATGCTCTGCAGGCCAGCTTTTGAAGCGCCACTCAAATTCGAGTTCGTTTGGTGGCACGAGTTTCAAGAACTTCCCACTGACATTCGTGTCGAGCATCTGGAAGTGACCGCCGACATTAGGAATCACTTGTGCGGCACCTTTAGTAAAAGCTTGGACCATTTCTGGAACCGTAAATGCCCTACACGCAACAAAAAACGAAATAAGTCAATTATTAACTAATAAAGCGATTGTGTTCAATTAACTCGTGAATTTTGCAGCATTGAGACAACAGATCACGATTTGTAATTACTAAAGAGAAGTCGTAGAAAATTGTTTGTCAATTGCTACATTGTTTGACCTTCTTTGCGTACGTTATTGCGAGACTGAGTCACAGGGTGTAAAATTTTAGAGAATGCCTAACGAACTAGTTTTTAGTGGCGTAAAAATAGGTCTCCAGAAGAAACCAAGTGCTTCAATAGGCTTGAAGACGTTCTCTATTTAAGCATACAACAAAAAATTGTCGCTATGATTCCGCTCGCCAATTTACAAAGAGATCCATCTATTGACAGCCTACCGAATCCGTGACATATCTAAGCGTTCAAGTCTTTGGTCTTACCTGTAGAGCTCTTCTGCCCTACATTTGAAATCTTCTTTCATTATCAGTTCTTTCGTCGAGATTTTGATACCAGAGCACTGCTCTCCCGACTCTTTCGGTTTATACGTACTACCCTTATTTAGTTCGGTCTTTCCCTGAAATCAGAATTTATGCAGATTAGATAATCTTCTACCGAATTAGAATTTGACGCATTATTAGCAATTCTGTCACGGGGCCTTTATTTTTTATTAAGAGACGACGGGAAGCACAACTTTGTACAATAAATTCATATCCATTTTCCTAATTCACTTTCTGCCCTAAAATTTGTGTTCCGGTTAGTGCGAGCCAGGGGTATTTTCATGAAAACGTGGCCCTATCTTGACAATTATAACCACGTATCTTATTATTATTCAATTCTTCCAGGAATATATCAAGAGCCTGATCAAAATTGTTTTTGTTTAATTTAGTACCATTTTGATATTAAGAGTTCCGATTGAGCAGACATCTGCACTAAAAAGTTGTAATGCTTATCGTAAGATCGTTTTTACAAACAGCGCTTCATCAGATATGCTGGATTCAACCCCCATAGCATTATATTTTTCTGAATAAACTGACATATATACTTGTTATTGCACATAATGTTTAGATTCTCTATAGATAAAACTGTGTTAAGTCATCTTCATAAAATAGTCGTACCTTGGTGGCAGTCGAGTTCGCACCAGACGGGGTAACGCCGGAAGCTTTCCCATCCTTTGTAGGCAAGATTAAACCTTGGCTGAAATCCATTTTGAGCGATGACACATATTCATCTAATTTGGAACGAATCACTTCAGTGCCTTTCGACCTGTTACACCACAGTGAACAACAATTGAAGAGAAAAATTTGGTTTGGCAATAAAATAATATGAAATATCAAAAGCAAAGTATGCTGTTGTTGTCACTTAAGACTCGGTATCAAACTTCAAGGACTTGATAGGGTTTCCCTAGATCGATATAATCATCCCTAAATAGCCATACTCTCATTAGGCCTTTCGTTTGCATCAAAAAACGTACACGGTAAAGTAAGTGAAAAACGATGTAAATGCACGTACCTCATCATGCCCTTGATTTTTTCTGGAATCGCCCCCCGGTCAGGATCGACAAGAGTCACATTCACGCTCACTTCATGTATATCATTTTCATCGGAAAGGTTTGGAATCTGAAGGATGAATAGCAAAAGCAATTAAATATGACGAAAAATAAGGCTTAAATAAAGATAAAATAGGTTCAAAGATCCTACTCCTAGATATAATAATGTCGGTGGCATAACTTCCTTTCTATGCCAGGCCTCAATACCATTGTTTTAACATCGCTTTAAAGAACAGTACAATCTGGAGGAACCGAGAAGATAAAATATTTTCTTTGGACCCTTACCAGAGGATCAAAATGTGTTTACGTTCAGATTTGGACCAGAACTATTTCTGTTCTTCTAGTTGGTTGCCTACCACGTTGACGCTGAACCAATCGCGACCATAAATACGTAACCCTTCTGTTTGTCAGGAACCAAATACGGTCCAAACAACTTGCATAAATTTGCAGAACTTGCTTAAAAACTTCATCTTGTAAATAATTTAAACTCAGACTGTGACTGTGCATTTCATGAGAAGCCAGCTCTGATCATGCATCACTTTGTATGTGCCAGAATTTTCTTGCGAAAAGTCTTACCAAGATAGAAATGTTTTTAATAAGTGATAAACTGGTATTTTTTTTCATTTAATATATATATTTAGTATATATATATATATATATATATATATATATATATATATATATATATATAGAATTTTACCGATAGTATTCTTAATATTTTTCTATTTGTGGTTATTATGTTTGAGAACCTAATCATAATGATTCACTTGTAGGAGCTTTATATTTTCATATTCTAATAATCACTCCATAAGAACCGTTGGTGCGATTTCATACATAGTAAAAATTAATTTCTCATTCACTTCGACAAAGAAACATGTTGAGAACGCTAATGAACAATGAAAAATGTAGTCTCAGATATACTCTTTCTTGAGAGGTTCTAATTTTCGATGGAGCAACGCATCTAATAAGTCATATCTTGAATTGTCCCTCTATTGAACATCGTTTGAATAAATTGCGCAGAGGCAATTTTTGCACAGACCGCAAACAATAAATGCTAAATAATCGGCTCGAGCATCTTACAGAAAATTTAGATGATTTTTTTATTTTAACATTTCAGATATTCATCTATTGCAGCGTGGAGCACATTCAAACTTCGCTTATAGATGCAAACATTTTAAACCAACCTCTACACGTCCCTTGACGACCTGGTCACTTCCAGCACAGCGGCCCTCCCACTCCAGCTCGAGTTCCCATTCGTAGAAGAAAATCAGTTTTGCCTTCCTATTGTTAGCCGTGGCTTCACCCTCACATTTTTTCAGCTCCTTGATTTGGACACTCATGATCGAATCGTTAATCTCAAGATCGGAGAATAACGAGTGCAATTTATCTTTCGACCACTGGCACGCGTTTTTTTCCGTCCTGAAAGAGCAGAAAATTGACATGCAATTGCAGTATTGATCAATGACAAGTAGTCATAATACATAGTGCTGTCTAGATCGATACTAATATACCAAGAAGCATACCCGCTTTCTGCAGCGTATTTTTACAATAGGCATAAGCAACGAATGCGCTTGAAGTGACACAGTGATTTTATTAGGTTTGTATATGTTTATGCTCTCAAAATTGGTCTACGGATAGCCTCTTCGCCTTGGTAAGTCGCCAGCAATATAAAAAAAAAATTTAAGAATGCATTCCTCCAATACTGGTCCAAAACTAATTCAAATTAGTTAATCAGATGCTAAAAAATATTTCCATGGTCTAGTCCAAATGCGCTTGAAAAAGTTATTTCAGAGCCTTATACAAATGCCGGACAGCATTAAATGAGCAAACCGAAAAAAATCTCTACTGGAAATGGTTGGGTGAGCTTTTCATAAAACCTCTAATATTCCTTTTAAAAGCGTATGATTACGTTTCCGGCAAATACACCTGCTTTGTTTTTCTGGAAAAAGTAATTCAATGTGGTTTTTGTTTTTTTTTTATAATCCAAATGAGGAATAATAGTTTAAAATGAAGAATCAAATTTGGTACCAGTGCCAATTGTTGACGTTAGTGGCGTCGGGTCGCTCTTCAACAATCCATCGGGGGTCTCCTTCGCCCCATTTCGCCATCTGAAATCATTGACCACAATAGCGCAAAACAGAAATTAACGTTAGTACCAGATACAACCAAATAGCAACGTGATCATATGAGGAAGACAAGGCAGAGACGTCAATCTTGACTTTAAACTACGATCGATCACAAAAATTTGAGTGCGTAAACCTTATTCTGTTGCATGGTTGTGTTGAGGACTATTTCTCATTTAGTTAATGTTTATACAGTCTCGGATTTAAAAATAGAAATCAAGTGCCGACTTGTGAAAAAGAGTCCTTTTATATATGGAAAGATAGCAACATGATACACATGAGTGTTACAGATACACATCGTCAATACCGTAACGTTCGAATAAAATTGGTGCCTCGCTAGCAAAACGTGCAGTGGATTTCATTTGTTCGCGGCTCATTATTAGTAATCCTTGTAAATTCACAAACAATTCGGAAGGCACATGTTCTCACATAGCAAATATTTTTTTGTATCACTTTGATGCAGATGACTGATCCATTCGAGTGGTTCAAATTTTCATGGAAAATCTATTTCTTCGTGACTGTCTGTTGGTATCCGTAGCACCCAATATGCTTCTATTGGCTTGACTTTCAAGCATGTTCAGTCTTAGCACTCTAAAACTGACAGTTTTGTACAGTTATTGGAACAAAAAAATTGTCGATTTGTTGACGAGTCGTTGTGCCCAAAGACTATTTACCCAGTTTGTGTATTGATTTATATCACGTATTCCGAACCTATTCCATCATATGTTCTAGATCCTTAATAACTTCCTTAATAACTTAACTACAATTATGACTTACATAAACTTCTGAATTTATTGAGTTTTTCTAATTTCATCATGGTTAATAGCTATGTCACGTCTTGGTTGTCTCAATCTTCATCAATAATTTTAACTTGTTCATTAAAACATGCCACACATGATGTGCCCATTGGCTTTCTGTTTGTCTTTGAAATCATGTAAGTTAGCAGTCTGGCATTGACTTAACCAATATCGATGACCATCTATGCAACCTATAATATGTGCTAAAACGTGTACAATATAGTAGTAGTAACTCGGTCAGGTCTTTCTCGCCGGCAGAGAAGAAATAAGCAAATCATTCATTCTATGATGGTTTTTTTTAATGGTACATGTGCTACACTGCTGTTGATGTTGAATTGACAAGATCTGGGCTAACTTGACCGGAAATCCTTCTGGAACAAGATAATTGCGAACTCGGCCACCACAGGGTCGCAGCGAGGTTAAATTGGTAATCGCTATGAGCGTTCTAAATTCGAAGCCGCGCGAGCAACGACAGACCGTGGGTGGAATCGTCGATGGTTTTCCGGTTCTCCTACCTTGTGTCACGGTGCCTGATCGACGTGATTTCCAATACGTTACTCGTTCGTTAGCTGGGGATGTAGCGAAGCACGCTTATATACTCTCTAGTGTAGCACGTCCACACTCTAAATTACCCGCACACAGCAAGCACCGCGCTAAGCACCCACAAGCAAGCCGTGGTTATATACAGCTAACTGGTCACTAACAGACACACGGTTATGCTTGTCGCTGCGCCGCCGGGAATCGTCTAGAAAGTGCAGGAACAAAATGTCAACACAAACGCGTTCATTCGCGGTGGTGAAGGTCTCAAATGGCGGGAATGATTTTAAACGCAAAAAAAAGACCATTTCTGACACTACACCGGAGATTCACTAAGTCGAATTGTTATTATATAATAGGTCAGGAAAAAAAGATCGTGAAAACGTAACAAAACTACTTTCATTAGCTAAATTTGAAATATATGGTACTGGCAGCTGATGACAATTGAGCAAACCACTTAAAAGCAACACTGCTAGTAGGTTTTTAAGCATAGCAAGAACGCAAACAGAAAACACTAACCTTAAACAACAGAGATCAACTCCAATCAAAAGAATAACGATAATTTTTTCTCGGCCCTAACGATGACATGACGCCTTGGATGGGGGTTCATGTGATACATATGCAGGCACGGCGTGGTAAACTAAACAAATGAAACTTCATTATTGGAAAAGAGGCCGATTTGCATCTACCCTTAGTATTGCCATCTAAAGGTGTTTCATTTCGAATGTATCCCCAAGGAACCGTATTTGGAAGTCCATAAATTTGGTACCCTTTTTTAGCACTGTCATTTCCTCTCTATTTTGATTTTATGCAAAATGTTCGTGCGTGAAAGGAATACTAATTGAGATTAAGCGTAAAAAGAAACTTGCTGATTTTTGTTTCTCTTTGAAACCGCACAATTATTTGATTATTTGTACGCGAAGTTTAACGATCGTCTCGTGTGCTTTCAATTGTATTAAACATGTATTAGATTCTACACTTCTGGGGACACTAGAAAGCAAACTTATTTTTTAAAAATTGTCAACCTTAGTCGAGCATAACTTTCCTTGATAAGCATTAAAGATTTTTAACTTTATTAAACTTAATAGCATTAAACTTAATATTTTTTACTAATTTTTAAACTTATTTTTTTATAAGTTACAATATTATGTAAGTAAGTAAAGAAACGAATTTTTCTTTATTCATATCTACGAGACAAATCTCCATACCTGATAGATGTTTGGAAGATTACACGAAGTTCGGATCCAATTTTTCATTAAAAAGTTCCCTTTCAAGTCTTTCTCGCTTTATAAATCGTAATAATTCGGAGAGAGTTATAGGTCTCTGTACATTCCTAATCACTATCACCGGCACAGTTTGTGCAGCACCATAAAAATTTATGTTGTTGTTATAAGTTAAACGTACCACCATAAGCCACGATTATATGATGCTTTGTAGCTTCTGTTTTTGACATACCTGTCATATGAGTAGGCGCACCTAGTGACTCGTAAACGAATTTATTTTTGTCATTCAGGAATGGTGCGAATTGAGGCTTTAACTATGAAGGAGATCCAAGCTCATAAATGTACGGCCTTATTACTTACAATTACCCAGTTAAAATTATACAATGCTTTTTTGGCTAGATAACATATTTTTCTGACCCCTTGAACGGCCGTTACCGATCGCGATCAAGAAGCATTTATAGTAAAACTATTAAGTAAATCTGCACCCATAGCCTACTCATTACAGTCCACTGTGTTTTGATGCTAGCCAGCATTCGGGAGTTTTTGAATTAGGCAATGAAAGAACCGTTAAAAGCATTTTCAATATTTTTAGAGTTTATTGTAGTCCTCGAAATAATGATTTAATGTTACACTAGACGTTTTCTTTTTATTTCACAGCTTCTCCTTCAATAAAAGCAACAAAAAGTTAATTTGCTATTGTCGTTTGTGCAGCTTAACAATCACGTTTACCGATTAAGTTACTCCTTGTTCATGCCTTTTGCTAAGTAGTCCTATACATAACGAGTCAGTAGACTCGTTATATATAGGACTACTTAGAAGTTACCGACAGGGCGACCGCGGATTTTCCCGACACAAAACGTTCCCTTAGAATAATACGTTCATTTTTCCTGAGATGTTAGTTTGGGAAGAGTTGTGCGGAAGATCGAACCGATGAGGCGAATACTTTTGTCCGAAGGAGACCAACTTTGCTCTTCTTCATTAAACGCACTAGTTTGTTTGGTCTTCAACAAAACCAACTTCTTTTTCATAGCCGACGTTTGAAAATAATATCGCGATATTGTTTACAAACATTAAGGCGATCGCCATCCTAGTTTTAGTACAGTGGTACCACGTTTGCAACGAAACGTATTGACACATGGCGGTCGGTCCAAATCCAGGCATAGACATAGGGTTCGTCTCGTGCTGGGACCCAACCATATGAACCAGTACCTAGGACCTGACTTAAAATTGGAAATATCTAGAACGGCCAGCTACGTTGACGCTGGCGTGTCATCAAATGTACAAATGTAAACATATTTATGTAAAAATTATGCTGTGGGAGTGTGTGCTTAAATAAAAAAAACTGTGTTTAAAGCATATTTTCAATTAGCTTACAGCTACTGAGTAATAGCTGCCCGCTATTCGATGTTATTTTTAAAAACAATTAGTCTTTTCTTTTAACATAGGCAAAATGAAATGTGTCTAATAGTAAAACAAAGGCGGTGCGAAGCCTGCGAATGTCGCTGCAGTTATTGGCTAGTTCTTGACATCTACAATAGCGTGCAGTATTTTCCTCTAAACTAAAAAACTAAAAAAAAAGCTAAAAACGAACGTTCTATTCAATAGTTTTGAAAGAGCTACAGACCTAGCCATGCTCGGAGTGTACGAGGTACCCTTAATGAGTGTCAAAATGTCTTCAAACATTTTGGAACTGGCATTACTTATTTCAAATATCTCTGTGGGCTACCGGCATTCTGAAGAATGATATTATCAGTAATCTTTTTTACAATGACATCATTGTCGTTATTCTATTTTACTGATGTGATAACGGTCTAAAAATTCCTTTGAGTTGTCTTTTGCTTAAATTATGTCTACATTTTGCTTCAAGTATTTTGCAAGAATTTTGAACAAGCTAGTAGAAGCAACGTGATCAGCTCACATGGCTGTACCACAAACGCACCACACGTACCACACTTAGATTAAATTTTTTTAAAGGATTGTATTCGTACTTCATTATATAAAGATATATCTATCATTAGTACTAATTAGCACTAATATGGCAAATATTGATAATAACCGTACAAAGGTAAACCTTGAAATTTGTGGAACGTTTGTGATACTATTAGCGTCCCGGTAGCTCTCCTTCCCTAAGATGTTTAACAAAAGCCGTGGTCGACAAAGCCACAGCCTTTTCGAGCGGAAGGCAGCATGGTATGTGCTTCGTGGTGTGCAGTCTTTGTGAATACTTCTTCATAAAAATAATTTGAATTCTTACTACATCATACATAGTATTGTTGCTTGGGTTCAAAGGCAATAATTGATATTTATTTCCGGCATTATTCCTAGGTTTTAATCGATTTGATTTATAATGTACGGCCAAACCTGGTATGGTCTTACGATATTAATGTTTGCGTTACGCTTGTATAGCAGCTGAATGTACTTCGTGTCGTGAGGTTCAAAAAAATTTAACCGCTGGTGTGTAATTCACGAGTTTCTAAAAGAGGTTTGTAAGATATTGCGTGTTCAATATATCAGACCACGTGGTATCGTACCTGTGCTCTTTACGGCTCGGACTTCTTACGGACGTGAAGAATATTTTTGGTTTGTTGCTCAACTGCAGATAGCCGTGAAGTGGAGCTATTATTTCGGTCTATATGTGAATAACCTGGACATATCTTCAGTAAATGGTTGATTTGTCTGCATAGAACTATTCGGATAACTTTGTTGTGATTTTGATTTCAGTCTCATCGGAAGTTCCACGCGCCCCGTCACGGCTCGACGGGCTTCTTGCCGCGCAAGAGGTGCGCCCGTCACCGTGGAAAGGTCAAGTCCTTTCCTAAAGATGATAAGGCAAAGCCCGTACACCTGACAGCCTTCCTCGGCTTCAAAGCTGGCATGACCCATATTGTGCGTGAGGTCGACAAACCCGGGTCAAGTAAGTACCTCAAATGGGTCCAGACCGATGAGTCTGGTGCATCTCTGTTCGGATCACTCCCCCGGGAGTTGGCCCGCGACATGTGCACTCCCCGTGAGACCTTGTTGGGGACTTGTAGGTGATCGGTTTTTCTAGAACTGGGTGACATTGACACGTAGTAAGTCATGGGTTCCTGCGATTTAGCGATTCGGTTATGCTCGTTGCTTTTCCCTTCCTATATGATTCTGGTAGTGTTACGATTAACTAAACAAGGAGAGGAAATCAGACGTTGCTGTATGGTTTAAATAACTCGCGATGATGATAAACACTAGAGCCTTTTTCACGGATGATGTAAAGTGATTACGAATGATAGGACTGACAAATCGCAAAGTGTTCGCAGATAATTTTTCGTGGGAAGTTTTCGAAAGAAACAGCGGTGCTTCTATTCTGTCAATTAACAGAGGTAAACAAAAAGGAAGTCGTCGAAGCGGTCACCATTATTGAGACACCTCCCATGGTTCTTGTTGGCGTCGTCGGCTATATAGAGACTCCGCGTGGCCTTCGTGCTCTGAAGACAGTGTTTGCCGAGCACCTGTCTGAGGATGCCCGCCGCAGGTTCTACGCTAATTGGTATGCTTCGAAGAAAAAAGCCTTCTCAAAGGCTTCCCTTAGGTGGCAGAGTCCTGATGGTTTGAAATCGATCGACCGTGACTTCAAGAAGATGCAGAAGTATTGCACTGTAAGTAAAGACCAGTAAGCTCTAAAGATAATAATGGTGCTTATAACAGAAATGATGAAAAAAAAACTTCCAAATTCATTCGTGGTTTCCAGCGGATGGGTCAACACCCTATGACGGTTTTTGCGTCTGATCTGTCAGTCGGCAATCCGTGCGTGTATACATTAGGATATTTGAGCTTGGCTTAATTAGCGCTGTTTTATTTAGGTCATCCGTGTGATCGCTCACACCCAGATGTCCCTGCTGAAACGCCGTCAAAAGAAGGCTCACATTATGGAAATCCAGCTCAACGGGGGCACCATTCAACAGAAGCTTCAATGGGCTCGTGAGCATATGGAGAAGGCCGTTCCCATAAAGAATGTGTTCGCTCAGGACGAGATGATTGATGTCATTGGTGTAACCAAAGGTCACGGAGTGAAGGGTGTTACTTCGCGTTGGCACACCAAGAAGCTGCCGAGGAAGACTCACAAGGGTCTCCGTAAGGTGGCCTGTATTGGGGCCTGGCATCCTTCTCGCGTCCAATTTACCGTTGCTCGAGCTGGTCAGAAAGGATATCACCACAGGTGAGCGATGAGATCAATTGCTCATTAAGGACAGTTTCATGTATATACTTGTGGCTTAATACTGGCTGCGATGAAGCGAACTTCAACGCGGTTTGATAAATGGGCCAATATCGAAATGGTTAGTTCTAAAGTTCCGGAGAACGTTATTTAAACTCCGGGGCCATTTCACCTGTCCAACATAGAATTAGTGTACAATCGTAACATAGTATGGTGAGAATTGAGTGGATGTCATTGCATTGTATATGACATGATGGAAAATTGAACCGCAGGTTCTGGCTTAATGCGACCGAAGTCGTTGCAGAAAACTTTGCTGCCTTCCTTCTGACCTTGTATGTTTTATACTATTGTTATTATACTATTGTTTAATTTATACTATTGTTAAATTATTTTTTTCTTTTAGGACTGAGATCAACAAAAAAATATACCGCATTGCTGATGGATTTCACTCAGTCGATGGAAAGCTCGTCTTTAACAATGGATCCACAGAGTATGACCCCACCACAAAGTCGATCAACCCTATGGGCGGATTCAAACATTACGGCGAAGTAAAGCAAGACTTTATCATACTTAAGGGCTGTGTTATGGGTCCTCGTAAGCGTGTAATTACCTTACGAAAGGTGCGTGTTATATCCACGTTTTTTTCAGCCTCGCAGATAAAAGTAATTAAACCTGGTCTTTCATGAGCACAAATACAGGATGAAAACTTAGCAGGCATAGGTCAAATGATCACGATGATTATTGTTGATAGAACTGAATACAAAACAACTAAATACTAGTTATTTCCTCTGTTAGAACAGGATTTCTAGCTTCTATAACTAAAATCTTTTATTGACACTTCGTTTGTCCATTTAGTCGTTGCTCCCTCAAACCAAGCGTGCCGCCACCGAGAAGATAACACTTAAGTTCATCGACACCTCGTCGAAAATGGGCCACGGTCGCTTCCAGACCGCCGAGGAGAAGATCGCCTTCATGGGTCCGCTCAAGAAGGATCGCGTGCGTGCCGAGGAAGCGGCTGTTGCTGCTCTTGCCAGCAAAGCCTAAACTTGTTAACCTGCATTCATCTGGAAACCGAAACTACTGCGCATATTACCGTATATAAGGACGTCCGAATGCTGCTGTTATTACGCTGGTACAGCAGTATATGGGTTTGCAGCTTCACATGCGCGCAAGGATGAACAATAAAGGACAGACCGATCCTAATTCTGAACCCGATTACGAACTTGTTTTCGATTTAGTAGTTAATACTAGCGAATGTACTGGTTATGGTGTAGAGTAAACCAAAGATTTCAAATAACGCTAACGCATCGGTTACAGGCCTACGACCGCTTATGTTGCGGTGTGGGATTATTTTCGATGCAACAGTGACTCTGCACAAAGGAATTACCTTGCTCTTAATTTTTGTAGGGTCAGGTCTAGACAATGTGGTACAAAAATCTCTCACTATTTCATGCAATGCAATCACACTGGGGTGATGTCATCGTCACTGTGTATTGGCCTCTTCGTATCGTTTTGTGGAAATGGCTTTTAACACGCGACTGAACACCGAAACTCTGAAAGAGTTTCGGTGTTCCCATGCACCGTAAAACATGCCTTTCGTTGCTAGACTCTTCGTTGCACGTGGAGGTGAATTTCGGTGGCAGAGCAGATGGCCGAATGGGTACTTGCATCGTGCGCTTTTTATGGAGTGCGGAGCCTGCGAACATTCGTACACCGATGCACTTGCTAGTGAGACCAAATAAAACATCAGTTTGCATTTAGGGTCGAAATAGCGAATCGGGCCCCAATAAACTCAAGACTCGTAGAACGAATTCACGGCATCGCTTCAATCTTAAATGGGCAGACCTCGCAGCCCGTTTAAGTACACAACGGTGCAATAGAAATATGGGGTGCTACTTACTCTGAGATCCGTACAGAGTCTGGGAGTCTTCAATCGCCCCAATATTCATTATACAATTTACAATGTGTCAGTCGTGCAATATCTCATGCGTGGGACGACACCCTTGCGTAAGCCATTATCGTGTTGACTTGGGCTATATTTCGTTCCTAAATCGAATGAACAGTTATCTTGTTCCTAAGTGAGCTTTAACTTGCTGAGGAATAATTCCGCTATTCTACAAACCAAATGGTCTAAGATTTCAGCAGTATTGTACAAACATTACGTCGTACTATCGCAGTTCTTCACAACACATGAAGCTCGAATGGTCACTACTATGGTGTACTTTTCTCGATACACTAATGCCGTGTATTCTAGGATGGCAACGTTATAGTCGGGCAATCACCTATCGTTTATTGCTAAACAATAGTATGGCAGAAGTTAAGTCCTAATCTAGCTCATTTATAGAATGAGAAGTGGGGGATGCGCTCGATTATTCCGGGTTTGAGGTCAGTTTAAGCAAAGAACTTGTACACCAATGCAATACACCAATGCAGAATTATCAACCCATTTAAAAAAAAGGTTTTTGAACAAGTTTTCGAGCGTTGTTTCTTTGTATCACGTTATATAAACCAGTGGGTCATACTACACGCGTACAGTCTCACTTTGCAGCGTTCTGTCAGCTCTTCAAGAAAGCAAAAAAATTGCAGAAAGATTAGTATAAAATTTGACTCTGATCTTTGTAAAGTTTTTAGTTCTTCTGATCTTGATGTTACCACGCAAATTTGTTTAAAAAATTCGAACAAAGAATTAGCGGTTGGCGCGTACAGATAAACAGCTAGTCTTTTTTCTCAGCTAATTTTCTATTATGCATATGGGGCTGCGGAGTTAGGGAGTTACTCTTTTTTGAACGAGTGAGATCTTGTGGATGTGGTAGAACGAATTCGAGCAACATATTAGTTGTGTCTGTGATGAAAATGTGTTGCGTCAAACGGCGTAAGTCGTCCACTGCGCGTCTTCTGTGTCTTAATATCTTTTCTAGAGGAGTTTATAAACGCAGGCATTGTCCTATCCCAATTTGATTGCTTCGCAAATGCTCTAGTACCAACGTGTTGCTATGTTTTTAGCATCAAAACCTCCAGGGTTTTATGATATTGTTGGACTTACAAATAGATAGGAGATAAATGTACCCTGATAATTACTTCAGCAAGTCATTCTCAAGGCACGAATCGCAAAACTATACATTAGTACTAATTACCATACGCTAATGGTGTTGTTGTGGTCGTTAAGCACATTGCGATGGTCACATTCATGAACCAAGCTGAACTGAAAACAGGAGGAGTGCAAGAAAGGCCTCTTTAAGCTTTGTTGTAGAATTGCGTATTTAATGGACTAAACGTCGTGTCTGTTTGTTCATTTTTGTAGCAAACTTAGCCGAAACTTGATACTAAGATATGCGTTCACTGAATGATCATCAACCATAAATTAAGAAATACTTTAGAACACAATGTTTTCTGTTATGGTTACTAAAAGAATCGGGGAAAGATTTTTTGAATGTAAAATAAATTCATAGAAGCATTCCTCTAGCTGTTTTCAGTTGAAGCAATATTGAACTTTCTTATTGCTTACGTGATTCGTCGATCAATTTGAATCATAGATTTTAGGCAATAAGTCCCAAATTGGCCTAACCGTCATATTTCCGTGGTAGTGTATGCGTTTTTCGGTAAATGTCATATTTGTTGAAATTAGTCCGGTATACGGTATATTATTGTCTCCATTTCACCTCTGGCTTCGATGAAGATTCAGGGGCGCCTAGCTTAATGAACAAAATAAGGCACACCCTTGGGGTATTTAGGAGCAGCTTTAGTAACAATTCTATTGTTCTTGATTTTAATTTGAATGTTAGCGTGTGAAATTATGACAGAACTGCAGAAATTTCCGGGGAATCTATTGGTGCATCAAAGAAGTGACCGTTTTTCTAGCTGCACAGCTTGATTCACATGTCTCAGAGTAAGTTTCGTCGGGCAGTTGTTGGTGTCAAAGCGCTAATATTATTATAATGCATTTATTCAAGTTTAAAATAGAACGCCGTAGGAATAAATGATATTTCTGCGAAAATTTGATATATTTTATAATTTTATTACGCTAAAGGTGCAAAGATGCCCAAGAACATGAAAAATGCGTAGCAAGTAGCCACGGTGAAGATCTACCACCAAACCTTTTGAAGCTATTTGGAGAGTTAGCTGCCAAAAAAAGGTTTGCAAGAAAATTTACTTGATCCTATTTTCGTCTGTGAAACGCTAAAGAAATGTAATGAAGTCGAGCTATTTCTAACGTGATTGCTCACAGGTGACGAGAAGTGCATGATGAACGTGCAAATAAAGAATCTGTGATTTCTGTAGTAAATCGAAATGTGTTTGAAATGAAACAACAGAGAATGTGTTTGGTAGGAGTAGAAAAGAATCATGCATCACGGGGTGCTGCCGCCCAACAAGACGATTGATTCAGACCTCTACTGTCGGCAACTAACAAGAATGCAATCTTGTCAAACGTTTGAAAAAAATTTACTGGTATTAGTGAATAGAGATGGCGTCATTTCTTATCATGACAATTCCAGGTGACATACATCTCCAATTACCTAATAAAACTTTAGGGGTTTTAAATGAGAAATTTTCAGCTGCATTCGCTGTACAACTTGAAAATTGTACCACCAGACTATTATCTGCTTCAGTCTCTGCAGAAGGCCCGTAATGATGTTATTTAGTTTCAATGGAAAAGTGCAAAAATTACTTGTCACAAATTTGTGACAAAAGCTACAGAAGTTCTACAGTGATGGAATGATGTTACCAAAAAAATAACGTCATCATATTTAGCTTAGTAACATTATTGTAAAATATATTTTCTATATTACTATATTATTTTCTACATTATATATACTTGCTTCAATTTTTACGTACAATTGTCAATACTTTATCTTCAACCCAGTATTACATTCGGCGTTTGACCTTTATGTACTATTGATACACAATTGTACTACGTTGCATTAGATCAACAATTGGTGGTGTTTTATTATGATAAAATTGTGATATGTTACATTGAATTAACAACTGATGGACAAAAGACAAATTACTATTGCTATTGGCCGTCACTGGGTATCTGCCAGGTAGCGCGTGGCACCCACTATAGCGTCGTAACCTAAATTGATTCAGTGAGTACCTGCTAATATATTCACTGTGCAATGTCATATTTGACGCCAACATACGTGACCTGAGTAACTAAATGTTGAGGCATAACACGTATGAAGTAGGTTTGATGGATGTGTTAGGAATCGGGGTACCTGTCTGATAATAGACTTCGTTTCCAATATACGCATGCTTACTTGACGATGCCTAATAACTGGCTCGCTCCACGTAGGTCTATCAGGCGTTAGCCTCCGCCGCGGTGTTTACTGTTTTCGAGTTTTTGTTACCCGCTACGAACTCAGAGGACGAGACCAATCTAATTGCAATCATAATACCTTGGTGCTCCACATGAAAATACCAAATTTGCATCCAACAGTGGGTAATCAAGTTAGAGAGCACTGATGACAGAAGACAGCTCCTTCTTCAAACGCAAACATTTGTATATGTTTCGAAGTTTACGTCCAGTGTTGTTGCTAGGCGTTTCATTATACGACTGACTCTCAGCGCGAAACAAAGTGTTTTTGCCCGGGTTTGAACTTAGACTACAGCGCGTCGCTAAGACCAGCAAGCAAATACGTTACCCACTACGCTGTCACGGGGACACCGTTATTGCGTTTGTATGGAACATAGTTGTTCTGTAAATGAATGCATCAGAGGACGCATCAAGGAAAGGCACGTCAATACGAACCGATCATGTAAAAAAAACTAAACTTTTTTGTTTAGAAAGGGTCAATATATTGTACGAACAATTTTCAACCTAAGATTTAGTATGACTGATTCATCATTGGTGGTTCTTATGGTCATATAAGAGATCACAAATACTGAGAGGCTTCATTATTTTTGCTACTGTTTATACTTCATATCAGCCGTGCTTGTTTCTACTAGATCCGTTTTTGCTGTATCAGTCTCTTGTCTTTCATTTGAAAGTAATCAATACTTCTCGGAATAAATGAACGTCTAAGTCGAATTACTCTGGTTTTTCTTTACTTTGTATATAGGACTATATGAAACATTGACAAAATTTCCTTTGCACTTATGAAACAATGACGCTTTCTTTTTCGTCTTATTCCTTACTGCGTATCTACGACGTTGCAAATATAAACAAATAGACCAATCTAACGACAATAATCTGCAAGCGACAGCGGAAAATTCCTATACTACCATCGCTACCACGCAGTATACGAATACCATTTCGAATATTATACAATCACTTTGTTGTGATAGTAAATGGACTATCATTGAAAAGCGATTCGGCGATTACGTTCAGTGGGCAGGCGTATCCTATGAAGCTTAGGTACCGTCCAATAAAACACTGGTTTTGAAAACCCTTGCATTTGCCATTTGTTTTGTTACATTCCTAATATACATATTGTAATAGTCAGTTGATATATGACGATATAACGACAAGTTAGTTGCGGGTTACTTGTCAAAAGGGCAGACAGATACAAAGAATTTAGTTTCCATACACTGAGTGTAGTTGTTTATGAAGATCTGTTTTTTGTCAGATTACCCTGTCTTATACATAATTATTTTTCTAAATTTCGCTTTCTACATCTTATATGAATCCGGTAAGAAAGTTGTCATATTTGTTCCTCTTTCTCCTTTCCGGGCTTACGATTCTGAGACAAGAGCTTCACTTTGTAAAGAAAATTCAGATACTCGCCGTTCATATAAGTTTCGGTTACGGAATACGGCTGCATGTTGGAGATACTTAATTATTAACTTAGTAATAATAATAATGGAAAACGGTGACCGAGTGTTTGATGCCAGTCGACATGGGACTGTTTATGTATATTTCAGTATAAGCTGATTTATTTTTTTATGGATCGTTTACGGTGTGATGTTTTCTTGTAAATGCACGCATTCTTGAAGAAAGAAAAAGTGATATTTTGGTTTTTCTTGTACGTTTTCATTTGGGCTCATTTGTTTATCCTAATCAAAAATGGTTTTTTGCTACTATAGGAAAGTACAGGCTAGTCCGTCGGCTGCTGCATGCACACTGGAGCTGGAGCATGCAGCTGGACACAGCGATCCGATTGGCGAGAAGGAATCTGTGATGTACTCATAACAGCAAAATGGCTTGCAAGGTATACAGTACGCACTGATATTCTTAAAGCTGTAACCAAATGCGCATGTACATTCGCTAACAGACATCTTCATCGCTGAAAGTATAAGATAATCTTCAAAGAGTGAGTGAGTATATTTCAAAAAACGCAGAGGAAATTGTGCCTTTTAAACACACAGGTCCATTACTCTTTGGCACTAGTAGCACGAACTGCAACCGTTTTCGTCCAGAACAGTTGAACAAAATGTCATGGCTGGCTACGTTACGAGTCTGGTGCCCATGCGTGCACTTAGTAGTCTATGTAATAGTGAAGCTTAAAAGTCCCTAAAGCTAGATGGTATGAGGCATTTTAAACAGAAGGTCGTCCAAGGGCTAATAACATATTTATAAGCTCTGCTACCCTTCCCGCCATCGCACCGTCCGTTGACATCCAATATTGAATAAGATACTCATACTCAATATTAAACAGGTAAAACTGACCCGATAGTATTGTCCGTTAGCGCGAATTCTTTAGATTGACCGAATAATTTTTTGGTATTTGTAAGCTTGAAAATGAGGTTTTGAGCATAGAGTTTTCACGTCAGGCTAAGCCCATTTGCTATAAATGGCCTGGACTTATCTTGCTTCTTTTTTGGATCTTTCCAAGGCCAACATACATGCAAATAAAGAGCTAACTTATTTTATATCTAAAAGGATTATGATACAGTTTAGCTCTTTGGTCATTTTGAAAGATCCTTTATGCTGCAACTTTTGTGCAAGGTTACACTTCTGCATCCCTTGAAATTCTTTAACATTAACATGTTCTCTATAGTCGGCTGATAGCTGATAGCCTATATTTGAACAATTTCTTTTACAACAATTCCTTCTATTTTATGTATTCTTTTTATAGTCACTGTTATTAGTTTTAGACATTTCGAGTAGAGTAGGACAAAAAAAAGTGTCAAATTGCGATAACAAGCGTGCTAAACGTTTTAAAAACTACAAAGCTGGCAAACCATAACATGTGGGTTTGTCACTTTGGTAGCGATGTAAATTTAGATCATTTTGTTTCAAAAAAACAAGTGACGCAACTTTTGATCTGTACATTGCACCATCGATAGTTTGTAACCGAAGACACGCAACCGATCACCAGAAGATTAGTATTAGCCATCCAAAACAAAATTATCATAAATGGCATAGCCAAAATCAACTACCATATATGATTTCGAGTTAAGGCTGTGGAGTGACGTCTGTATAGTATTATCCTTTGGAAGCTGTGCTTAGTATATTGTAATAGAGCGATATAATACTAGCTTAGCGCTCAAATATATAAATGAATGTTCAACCCAGGTTTTGACTGTTTCAGCAGTCGAGCTTTGGAGAGACTGTCGCTCAAAAATCTAACATCACTCTATAAGCTTCGAAAAGTTTGAGCTATTTCTTATTTCTATTTTCGTGCAAACAAGATGGAAACATAAATGGAGTTCCATCTGATACACTGTATGCTACTCATTTTTTAAACGTAGGTCAGTGTTGGGCAATACACAGATAACAGAATATGAATTCAATTCGGGACGATTCTTCTGTGTAAATAGTATTCGTGAGAAACGCTCATCTACATTTTAGGAACTCTGCGTTGAATTTTACGATAGGTGATCTACGGCTCAGATGTTGGGAGGCGTCTTAGGATAAAATTCCGACACTGTTGAAGGGAGATATCGCTTAAACTCAACAAGAACTTGTTGATTAAGTGGGGAGGGAGTAATTCAAGAAGTAGTTTTGGATCGCTAGCGCGCTACGGAAATTTAACCGAGGGTAGGAAAGTGCGTTTTCCATGACCAGAATTAATATGTATTGTATTACACTACGCTCGTCCTATCATGTCGGTTGAAAAATTATTTGCTCTATTCAACTGATATTGGCGATAAGAAGGTGACCTTCTGTTATAATAGCAGATATTAAATATTGTGGGTTGACCTTGAACAAACGGTCAAGTTTTTCGCACAATGGAACTACAGCGAGTATAGTAGAATGCATTTCTATACTTTGACAGGAGACCGAATGCTAGGTGGTTACGCAGATCTACTTAGTATACCACAACTTTACGCCTTTCAAGTTTTCTTGATATCCCAAACTATTGTTAGAGGAATTCCCTTCACGTAGAATTTCTCTAACTGTAGTCCTGATCGACGTAGTTCTTCAGGTCGATCTGGGTGCCGACTAAGCAACCTTTGAAGGTCGTATTCAGTAGAGATACATTTAGGATGGTGTTACCATATATTTATCTCCTAAAATTCCGATATGCAAATAGGATCGAGGAGAATAAAGAAATCCGCATTTAAAGAGGGAAGGGGCCTATCAGCTTTATGGTTGATATAAGAAATTACTCGTACTCCTAGTAAAACAGGATTATGTGGTCTAATACACATGAAATCTTAATCACTGAGCCCTTGACCTTTGTGTGGCGTTCTGAGGGACAAAGTGATTTTTATATCGTTCCTTGGCATGTAAACGAACTGCTCTCGTATGCACCAGCCTGACCGACGGTATTTACGTTTGTTAGACCCTCCTGCTCTCGCTAACGCTGCTCAGTAGCTGAACGATGTGACCTACTTAGTTCGTAGTTACCAGGAGGCCATTCTATATACGGAATTCAACAACTAACAAACTAATAGCACGACTCTGATCTGTCAGTATGCGTTTAATCTTATAGCAATAGCAGGCGTTAGTTAGCCGGCAACGAAATTGAATTTTCTATTCTTACTCGAACTCGATCATATTCCTGGGCTGGCCTATTGGCAGCACTTGGCCGGCGACGACTGTGCTTTCCGCTTTCTTAACATGGTGCAGTGTTATTCCATCCTCTCTCTATTGAACCAGCGGAGAGTCATCGAATCAGTTGTGAACAGGTTTAAGGCCGACATCCAGTAATTTGCTCTTACTGTTAAATCTTCGCTGTTTGCGAGCACTAACAGTAACCGTCGTCGCATTTGTAGGTTAACGGTGGAGGTAATGAAAGCGTAGAGAACGAACTATTATCAAGACCTACGTACATTGCATTGAATCCATACCCTATTCTCGCGATCTTCCCCCAAAGACGTAGCCGGTGCTTCGACCACCCCCCTCGCGCCGTTCCCCTTCCCCGGCGGCGACGCAGAGGTGAGTACGGTATGCGAGTCGGGTGACCCGTAGCGTGTGCGAATCTGTCTTTCGCCGTGTCGCCTATTCGCCGAGTGTGATGACTTTCGCGGGGTGAACAGGATAACCGCGAGGATAGCCAGGAGCTAGAAGGTATCAACGGCTGGGACGGCGGCAGCTGTGCCCGGGAGAATAGCATCACTGGTGTGCTGATGTGACACGACGGTAAAATTCTTGCGCAGAGGCCGCTATTGCGACTTTTGGTCGGCTAATGATAATATACGCAAGCGAAATGAAACCATTAGCTGCCATTAACATTGTCCAATAGCAGTAGTGTAGTAGTAGAATTAACGCTGATACTCCGTAGAGTGCAAGTGACGGCACTATTCAATGTCAGTGGCGTCAACCAGCCAAGGAAACAGCTAGGTAGCCAGCGAAGAAAGCGCGCGGCGACTAAAAGCAGAAACGAAGACAAACGCAGGACACCGGCGACACGCTTTGCCCTAAGAGGGCTAATAGCCACTTACAGCGTAGCTATTTCTTTCCGTCTGGTTTGTAGTGTTCAACTCAGTCACCTTCGTCATTTTCCCCAAGTCTCTGTCTGCACTGTACGGCCACCGGTGTCGCTGTTAACCAAAGTCCTGTGCACTGCTGTCTGGTGTGCGCTACAGTCTAGAGGGCGGAGAAGATGGGGTACTTATCCCATTGACAATCAGCGTTCGACTTCCAAGCAACTTTTCCGTGGCTTTCCGTCTTTATATCTCTCTCTCGCCCTCCTTTTTCCTTCCTCATATGTGTCGACAACAAAAAGAAGAACTCCGTTTACAGCACGCGGTTATTACGCCATAGCGATTCAATAATTGGTACAATTTGTTTTTTGCTACAAGGCCACCGACATACTCTAGTCAGCCGGTCAAACGTGTCATAACACTGTCACTTTCGACAAAGGATACGATGGTGACGACGTGCAAGATCCCGTTCTAAAGTCACCGTTGTGACCATTGTACTATCGTGTTTTTGTCTTTTACGTCTGGTACTTAAGTGGCTAGGCACTACTTTGGACAGCTGACTACGTCTGGAGTCGAACCTCTACACCACCATGTGTTCCTAAGTTTAGAAAATAAACATATTATCCACTGCCCTATCACTGGGGCTTAACCATTGTCCTGAATGGTACTGTCCGACGGTGCAGAAGGCAAATAGCAAGAAGCAGTGTGACGTGATTATCGGCTCAAACTTGCAAATTAAGAATATTCGAACAAAATGCACTGACAGCTATTGACGACCGTAGTACAACCTAGCTGGTCACCGTGTCCGTGTTAAAGATAATCACAAATGCAACCAAGCGTGTGTGCTAGTCTCTGAAACAAATGCTTAAAGCTTTGGCAATAGGCGATTTGAAAACGAGGAAATGCGAAGCCTTTTTCATTTGATTGCTTGGAAAGGCACGTGCATTTAGGCAAAGATAGGTGGGGTGCTTTCCTAACAAAAAAAGAATACCATATTTATCTATCTGCAATTGGGCATCCAAGTGGGAGACGCAGCTTTCCACTAATTATCGTGCATGACCTTTGGATACCTACGCAATTCATATATTAACGTTGTCTGCTTTGATCGTCAAAAGGATGTCACTCAGATGGAGAATAGTGCAAATAATTTCAACGGTGGCTGTTACGCGCTGCCTTTACTGTGCATTTCTCGGGAGTGCCGATGCAGCAAAAGAAGGTGAGCTGCGCCTCTCCATAGGAACTCGAATCACTACCCACGAAGGCCAAGGCCACGTTGAGGTCTACCATAAAAATCAGTGGGGTTCGATCTGCGACGATGAATGGGACGAAGCCGAAGGCAGAGTTGTATGTCGTAAACTTGGTTTCAAAGGAATCGATGTTGTAACGTATGACGGAGAATTTGGTGCTGGACGTAAGTAAATGAGCTGAGAAAAACACATTTACGCACAACAGTATTTCAGCAAGACTGTTGGATACCGTGGAACATATATATTTTTATTTCTATAAAAATGTTCGGAGAATTTCACTTGACAGAACATTGATTTCAAATAGTGAGGTATTGTATTACGGAAACATAGGTCATCTAAAGAACTGAGTCCTATGTATAATTTTAAGTAAATAATTTAAAACTATCTTTAACCGATTGCTACCATTTGTCCAGTAGTGATGCTAGGTATTTCGTGATGCCATGGATGAAACTGACAGAAATACCGGGTCTCATATAAAAGGCAGATATATAGAATTTAAGCCGTGTGCACGGATCTGTGTCTTCTTGATTAGAGGCTTGGATGTCACAAGCTGTATTATATGATGTTAGATGTATTTGACAAGAACGCAAGATAAATCATGAATAAATAAGTACTTTACGAAGTTATAAGTTTTGGTTATTTTTTTATTATGCTGAAATTGATGTCACTGGGCTGGAGAAGGCAGACTTAAAAGGTAAAGTTCCGCTTACAACATATGCACAACACAAGTGACCTGCTTCCATCTTTTGAAAATTCTTGCTATTGACAAATCTTTGCTTAAACCCTATCTTCAGTTGATTTATGTAGCGTATCTGTATCAACTGAATGCAATACGTTTCTTGGCGCGTATCGTTATCTGATTTTGGTCTTATTAGAATTCGTTACTTCTAAATTTTATGTACGCATAGTTATAAAAACAATAGGGACTACAACCGGAATCAAACCCCAGTGCTTCTTCCATCGTAACGTTGGTCTGTGCTTTTTTATGGCAGGACAAATCTTTATGGATGACCTCTACTGTTCCGGTAGCGAAGAAACACTCACTGAGTGTCATTTTCCTGGTTGGCAGGTTAGTTAATATCAATTATTTGATGATTACTTTTTTATATTTGCATACAGCAATTACGATCTTTTACGTAAATTAGATATCGTCAGAAACTTAAAGGAGGATCTTTTGGGGGTAAGAGTCATTGCTGTTTATAGGGTGCGAACCAGTATGCCAGTGATTTTCACGCTCGGTAATTTCTAGGTTATGTCAATTCCTATTTTTAAGCAATATTTGAACAAATGCTTTTGCTCTAAATACTTCTTTGGACTACATCTCAGATAGATCCTCTACCGCATATATGATAGCTTTACCTGTCCGACTTTACTTACACGTGTAGGTACGGCTAAGTTGGAAGGGTATCTCGTTGCTCCCAAAGGCCTTGTTTTAGCCATATTTGAAACAAGGAATTACAATATCTATATGTGTGCATGTCTACTACGCAGAAGGTGCCATGGGAAATCACTGCAATTTGTCGCACTTCATTTAGAATATCAGAAGCGGATACATATGTTAATCTTCGCATACAAGGAAAAAGTCGACTAATGGCCAAAACAAAGCTTATCGGAGCAGTCTCGGACAAAATTTCGAGTCTTAACGACTATTGCATTGAAGCTGCGTAACACAGAGGCACAGACCGTAAATGAACTGAAATGAGATGCCAAACTAATCTAGAAAAATCTAACAGATATTTATTTCAATAAATAATTTAAAATCATTCGTAATTTCATAAATAAAAAAAAGCTTCCAATAGATGGTTTATTTGAGGAAGGGACTTAAATCTGGTGTGTCTGTCTACACCATTGTTGTTGCGGTATTTGACATATGCTTCGATATAAAATTTAATCAAGATGGGCACTTTTGTTGAGTTATATAACGTAACAGGAGAATTAAACAAGCACACATTAAATTTTTATTTTTTTTTCCGATCCGAACGTTCATGGCATTCAGCAGCATTAAACGGACTTAATGTTCGAAGAAAATTTAGATTATTATACATAAATTCAGTTGTTACAGATTATATGTATTTAAAGAAACCTTAGTACACTACCTCTGGTGAGGTTCATTATTAATTGTATTTAATTTTCTTAGAAAGACTATAGGATAATAATAACTGGTAATAATGTAAAAATACGAACTCACGTTAAATTTTCTTTGTGCAGAAATAAAGTTAGGCACACGGGCTTCTATTTTATTTCAATCATGAATGTGCTTGTTTTCGATGATTCCCTAATTTGGTTTTAGGTGCATGATTGTGAACCGACGGAACTGGCCGGCGTGAGGTGTATCCGTGAGGAAGAGACCACCCCTCGACCTTTTGTCGAAGTAGGTAAAAATGATGTAGGAATCTCGATTGTCGACCTCCCGCCAGACAAACCGCAAGATTTCTTCGAGCCCCTCAGGGTAAGGCGATGACGAACGAACGGTCAACTTATTCAGTACACAAGTGATAATGCTTATCGTAGAGCTCTAGGTTTTGCAGCTGTTTTGCGATCATTCACAGTGATGGGTTGTTGTTGGCAGGTATTTTTAAAAAAGAACTCGGGTCTACTAGTTGCCAAACACTTTTAAGAAATAGCTATTACGATATATTCAGTAGCTCAAAGGATTAATCACCTTCAACAAGAATAAACTCGTGGAAGGTTCATGCATTAATATACAGCAGGAAAAAGATTATAGTAAATTAATAAATAAATAGTAATAAATATGAAAGCTCAAGGAAACCTATCGTTCTAACGGTGGCCTCGTCGGTCTGTTCAAGAGGCTCTTCCCGACGGACCTCAGAATCCGACTCCGGAACGGTCGCACCCTGATGGAGGGTCGAGTCGAAGTGTACGACGAGCGACAGAAGCTTTGGGGTCTAATTTGTGCTGACGGCTTTGGTATGCTTGAAACAATGAGCGTATGTCGACAAGCTGGTAAGTAGTAAACGTCGAGAATGCTTAGAGGGTACGAAAACATTTCCAAACATACTTTTCCCTGAAGGAATACCCTGGATCAAATGGATACCTATAGGAGCACGAAGATTACATAAAGTAACGTTCAGTAGATTTATCGTGTCTCAAACATGCCTGTGCGGCTGTGCGGGCTTTGGTCAGCCTTACACGGATTGTTATTGACTTACACAAGCGTTCGTTCGCAGTCATTGCGATCATCAATGATCTATCATCGGTTTAACATTTTAGTCACACAAATTTTTCGCCTGTGCTACTGTGTTATGTTTACAATGCGCGTAATCGCCGAATCTGCGTCAGAGAGACAGCTTATTTGATGCTGATTCCAGCAGAACGCTTAAGGAGCTAGCCTCATAGCGTATTGTGAGCTTTGACTGTAAACCCGTGGCGCAGTCTGCCTGATCTCCGCGTATATTCATGAGGAGTGAATAGGATCAACCCATTCGTGTTTTCTACATCAGAGACTTCTTATAATGCACTAAAGTTTGCCCAAATGGTAAATTGCGTTCAGCCATAACAGTTTCTTTAGGTGTATGTACAAGTATTCTGTTTTTTAAAAGTAATTTATAGCTCGTTTCTAAAAGACATATCCATGTGCCATTGGATCTCTTAATAAAGGTAATTTCCTCGATCAACTTGCCCAGCTTTTCCCTATGGGGTTCAAGACTGCAAATGGAGGAAAATGCTGTTCATTTTATTTCACAAGCTTTCATCATTTCACAGAGATCTCTTGTTGTTGTAAATAAAATGGCCGAGCCACGAGTTGAGTTGAGCCGTGCATAACAGAGTAGATTTTCTGGATAACGTTATTCGTTGAGAAATTTCTGCCGTAACTCGAAACAGCAAAATCCCCTAGTCAATCTGAAATTCTGCAGAAGATAATTCGCTTGCGGTCCTCTTTCAAATTATCTTGCGCTATGTCATTAATAAAACGTGTTTAGAGGCTAAAATTTTTACCGAAATCTGTACTAGTCCAGCTCGTTTTACAGTACAAACGTTGGCTCAGAATGCTCAACGAGCTTCGTGGGAAACGTTTTCTCTGGTGCAAATCGAAGCCGTACTTTGGATAGCGGCCTTACAAATCGGCGGTTAATAATACAAGTAGACACATATTTTTTTGTTTGTACGTACATGAGTGATCTTAAATGAAATTCAAGACAAAGAACTAATAATATTGTGCGCGCAACAGAAAGCCTTAATGCTGCAGGACATTGAATGTCGATCATTGAATCTCCTTGGCCGCTTATACGACCTGCTGCATTACAATTAACAATAATTAGAGCAATTTCTGATTCGAGCTCGTAGATCTTTGTCTCATCATTCGCGTAATAATCACTAATGTCGTCCATAAAGAGATATATATTGGAAAAAAAATCGTGGCATCTTAGTAAATTACTCCTTAGGCAAACATGTTTTTTTACAATCAACATCTAATGCCATTTTCGGCCAATGACACTATGTTCACGGGCAAAAACTCAGCATCTAGTTTCAACGTGTCAGTGTTATAAGCGTATGCCTGTGAAGTCAATATTTTCATGGATTTTTTCGTTTAACTGTTTGAAGCGTATCTTGAGATATCTTGTACCTGAAGGGCGTTAGCCATTTATTGGTTTATGTTGCCTAGAGCCGTTGCCTGAGTAAAGAGAACTCGGGTTTATGGAATTGAACATCTGTTTTTCCAACCAACAATATAATTAAGATCAACTAACTTTGAAATTAAGATTCCTTTCAGCCAAAAATCCACTAGGAGTCCTGAAGGACCTCTAATTAGAAAGAACGCATTTAGTATAATTTACACATATCTTAGAAATGAAACAGTCCGTTTCATTTACAACCATTTTGCTTACATAGAACATGTTTGCCAAAATCGAGAACTTTTCAGAATAGACATTTAGGTATTGTCTGTCTCAATTTCTCTTGGAGAAAGCTATATAACATTGCAGCATATCGTTTCAAAAAAAAATGGAGACAGAATTCATTTCAATAATCATAATAGCTTTTTTTCTGTTGTCCGATTGTCATTTCTATGTATTCTGATATTGGAAATTATTCTAGGTTTCGCATACGGCCAGCAAAGTGTTCGGGGCTCGGCTTTCGCAACCGTAAATATTTCTTCAGTGCCAATATTGATCGTAGGTCTCAAGTGTAATGGCGACGAGCAAAACCTGGCGGACTGCAGATACACACCTGTGATTGACACCTGTCCTGATAACAGCTTTGTTGGGGTCGTGTGCGCTGAAGGTTTGCTTCTTCGCGAATGTTGACATTGATCTTTGCTTAACCATTTTCGCAAGCAAGATTTTAAGTGGTCTTAATTCAGAGAACAGAATCGTTTTTGAATCCTACAGGAACGCTATTAAAGGTGTTTATAGGAACCTAGAAGACAACTTGGTCCCTTTAGGCTATTTGTGATCTCTGAGTTGAACGAAAAATACTCTGATTGCTAAGACAACAAATATCCGTATCGGCATGACTACTCATGAGACTAATCAGAAGTAAACTTCGTTTTTTAAAGCAATTCCAACGACGAATAAACGATAATGTAATGATAAGCACGTAATAGAGCTTGGAAGGAAGCCCGTCTTTTCTACTGCGTCCTTTCTAAAAACGCAGAATGGCAATTTCTATAATTGAATTTCAACAGGTCTGTTGTTTCGCGAGAAGCTAACTGAGCTGTTGCTTGGTCGGCCTCGAACAGACCACAATAGAAGGAAAACAATGACCATTATTTAGAGTTTTTGGACAAATTTTAGCTTATTACAACCAAGCGCTTGCTATCAATATTATGAATGATTCCATGACATAATTTAATTGCCAATAAATGCAATCGACTGGCAAAACACCACCGCAAACCTGACAAACCACTTAGTCATAATTGCGGCATTGATTCGATAACGTTTTTTGGTTACTGCGTTGATCAAGATAAACTGCTAATACTTTATTGGCACCCAGAGCTGTTGCTTCGTTTTGTTGTCCGTCCAATATTTTCGCCAAATCTCTCGTATGCCACGGTTTCCTTATATTCAAAATGATATATATGTGGGTAATCTGTCGCTTATAAGCTTCTTCACTTTAGTAGAACTTCCTGATTTGGTCATCGACAAAGATGAGTTAGAGCGTTCGACATACCTTGAAGACCGGCAATTGACATTTCTTACCTGTGCGATGGAGGAAAACTGCTTGTCGTCTTCAGCGTATGAGATTGCAGATCATGACCGTTTCTATTTTAGTCGCAGGTAAAGTTCGCTGAAACATATTTATCATGCTCACGTTCGATACAAGACATAATAATAGACCAACACCGATTATCGTATCGCCATTTGGAATCATATAATTGAGGATGATCATCTATATTGTAATACGTTATAAATTAAGGCAACATATATATGCGCCGTGGTCGTCACGTTCCACAAAAAAGCTATTGTACGTTTAAATTGGGTTAGCTAAATGAATGTCACTCTCTATCTACCACTTCTTTGCTTTCATGGGGAGCAAGGCTTCTGCGTTTTACCACTCGAGTGGCGAATACCGGGAGCATCTCATTTCGACCATTCTTACCAAAGGACCAATGGATATGGCACGCTTGTCATCAGTGCGTATAATGAGTTCAATTGATATGTTAATCTTCACTTTTGGCACGAAAGTTGTAACCGTGTAAGTAAATGTATTATATCCCTGTAGTCAATTCAATGCGCAAGTCGGATTTTCATCCAGCTTACTGCGGGAATTTCCGATTCGCCAAGTGACCATCGTTCGAAACGACGAAAACTAACACTTTCGAACTTGCGTTAGGTTTATCAACGATAAAAAGCTGGATTTGTTTTACTAGGCAAAAGGTTTCATATGGGCATGATTTTTCCACAATGAACTTCGAAGAAGACTTTTTTTTTCCTTTTTTTTTTTCGTATCGATGTGGTCAGACTGTCTTTCATCGCAAAAATTTGTTTCATACACCAGCTGTACCCATCGTAGCTAGGGTCTCCTTCATAGATTAAAAGTGTGTTACCAGATGATCTACACGTTAGCACGCTGTCCTAACGAAATTACTAAATCTGCGCGCTGATGTTTTCAAACTTGCTGAATATGACAGGGCTGCCTGATGTCTATATTACGAGCGCCTTTACAGCCTATAGTCTACAAGCTACTATTGAACTTAGTCACTGTTGCGTACTCACGTTCATAAAAGAAACTGAAGGCGAAAGAAGCCGCAAAGCCGTTCTCAGCGTCACAGAAATCGTCATTAACGAAGGACTGCAGCTTTCGAGAAAATCAAAACAAATTATGACCTTAGGTGTACTAGGGGATGATTTTCTTGCGATCTTAATGTGAAGGCTTTTTCTTTAGTCTATGACTAAACTATTCGTTGATCAGGATCTAATGCTTCTAGCCGATGATTCTGATTGTATCAGTTTTGATGTGTGAGTGTTTTTCCACTCCCTGATTTACCAGGTAGTGTAAAAGATATACAAGAAGCCCCAGAATTTAAAGTCGAACTATTAGGCTTAGTAATTGTTTTTCCGATAAGAACACGGGGCGCCGATAGTTTATTTTATTAGTTGTCGTTTTCAAGTTATTAGTTGAAAAAATAACCTGCCAGCTATGACTTTGGAAAATAAGTACACGTGCGGGAACTACTGCCTTGATAGAGAAAGGTGAGTATATGCTCATATGAAAGAAACCCTGGGTTGGACACCTAGCCTAACCTATTGATTAAGAATTACTAATAGTCATAAATCAAATACTGACTATCCAAAGTCAATTACGCTTGATTTTTCCCGATTCTAAGGTTGGAATATAATCTAAGTACTTATGATAGTTGGATGGGATTCTTGCCAACGGAATTTCATACAAATTAAAAACAGAGGATTTTTATTTGTTATGATTAAAAAAGCTTCTGATCGAATAATAATATCTAAATCTCATGTTCACGTAAGCATATACGCAATGTCAAAATGTGCTATATCAGTTCGTCTTGTAGCTTGAATTGACCAGTAACTAACCCATAGAGCACACTTTCCTGTACACTCGCATCGAATTTGTTCTCCCACAACCACTTATTTTTCTTCAAGCGATAGGCGTCGAACGATATTATTGTCGTATGTTTTACTTGCAAAATGTCTCGTACGGATCTTAACTCAACAGGCACTACCATTCCATGGAGGTCTTCGCACACTACGATGTAGTTAATGCAACAGGCCAGAAAGTGGCCGAGGGCCATAAGGCATCCTTTTGCCTTGAAGATAATTTCTGCGATCAGACAACTACCCAGGTTAGTGACAAAGCGTGGAAATCTTCGCAGCATTCCGAAATTTGGCGAGCTAAAACAAGTTCTGACAACGCTTAACAAGTCCTCATAAAAATAATGATATTAAACGGGTGTAAACAAAGTGATTCTGCGAGAAAAATTAACATAAAAAAAATTCCACGTTAGCATTTGGTACACCAGCGCAAAACATGCACCTAGGACAATTGAACACTATTCGGCCACCAAATCTGTATTTGAGTACAGGTAACTTCTTCTAAAATAATGTTCAAGATAAGAATTAACTTAAGTACAATTATCGTTGAAATAAAAGTCGAAGGAAGGTCCACTGTGAAAGTCGAAACTAATGTACGTTCTATACTCTATAGAACTTCGATACGAGCAATCAGAATTAGATCAGTGCTATATATTTTTTTGAATGTAGAGCTTGTTTCTTAGAAACCCAGAACTGCAGTCTCGACTGCCACCCTCTCTAGAATATTTGACACAGACGAAGCAATTGTCCAGGCTAAACAGACTGCAAATTCAGTGACAGCTTCGTCTACTTAACCATTGTTTTTGGACGGTAACTCGCTAGGTTAAAGTGGTAATAAATGAGGTGTTTGCCTTTGTGCAATTTTACTTTAAAGGATCATGTAGGCGATCTATTCGATATTGCCGTTTCACGATTAATGCTTACATTACCATAAAGGAAATATAAATTTTGAGACGTTGTTGTTGTCTGGCCCGAGCTTCGATGACGTAGCTCAGTTTATCAGCATAAGGCTTCCGGTAAACCATTGCTGAGATTTGGGTTTTTTTTTTAATTTACATTTTTGTGCTGGCAACTAAGAAGGCATTTATCAAGAAAGCACGCTCGCTAAGCGCAGGTCAGACAAACGTTTGCGCTCGTATAAAACTAACTTTTCTTCGAAGATTTATTCTTTCAATTCTGCCATATTTCATGTCATATATTGAATTAAAGTTGATTTATTCGCACATAGGAAATACCTTCCAAACAGTTTTTCGAGACGGAAAGGAAAATGCCAACAGCATGACCACGCCAATTGAGTAACCACCAAATCATACAGAAATAATTGTACCCTCTACGAATTTATTTTTTTGTAACCCCCACCCGATGAAAATTTCGGAGCTTAGGCAAACTGATGCTGACTATAGGTTGTATACTAGTTTAGTTAGTTGTATACTAGTTCCTGAACCCAAATAGAGGTGGACCTCAAATATACACAGCTGTCCGAGATCCTATGTTTTGGATAATGTGTCTACATTCGGTTCGTTTTGGTTGGGCTCCATTACAGCGAATGTATATCGTAAAATAAATTCTGGCTTGCTAATTATATCTATTGAGATAACTGAATAAGCCGAAGAGGCGGCTTTGAATTGTCATGAAGTTCTGTATAGATTCAATGTAAAGTTTATTTTTAGCATTCGACTTACGGTGAGTTCCACCATAAAACCCTGCGTTCGCCCTTGATAGAAACAATTTATTCTAATAAATATGCCTTTTGAGGGCGTAATGCCTTTCACTGCTTTGGTGCCATATGTCTGGTAAAGCTTTACGTCTAGTGAGCTGCGCACTTGAAGAAACAATGATAGGCGGGACATGTACGACACACTAATTATATGAGAAACTGACGAAAATACTTTGAGAGACAAGGATATAATTGTTGAAGACGACGTTGCAAAGAAGGCTAACAGATGTCATCTAAAGAGCAATTTTTTTGACCCGTTACCCATGCCCCTTTCGTAGCCGACATTCGACGTCCTAATAATTACATATGAACATTCGTTACTTTGCTTATTTTGATTATGGTTGGTATGTTTAACGGCCTCTAAATTGCTGACTTATCCGTCTGCTAAATAATCACATTCTAGCCGCTTTTTTATCATTTACCCTGCTCAGAGCGATAGCAGATTGATCAATCTGATTTATTTATTTTTGGGAATTTTGTATGATTTCAGTGGAAGTAAAGCTAATAACGAATCTTATTTTATGTAGGTTTACGCATGCGCAAACTATGGTGATCAAGGCATCTCCGTCGGTTGCGTGGATACGTATCTTCACAACATTGACTGCCAATGGGTGGACGTGACCGATATACCTGTAGGAAACTACACGTTCAAGGTACCAGCTGATTACATACTTTGATTTATAGATATATACAGAAGGTGCCATATAATAATCATGTCATATGTATATAGAATACGAACTCCACGACTCTACACTATAATCTAGTTGATATTAAGCCTCCTGGCTTCATACATACAATTTTTTGCCTTATCATAATTGCTGGTCGCTCAGACGGCGCTGGATTCGCTGCCATTTATTATAATAGCCTCTGGCAGAATCGGCTGTTGCTCGGATAACAATAAGGGGCATCATGTTTTGTCTTTTTCTCATTAGCATTTGCCTTCCCTTTTTATTTTTATAAAATAGGGCTTACTCAACATCTAAGTGCAGACATTAATCGTTTTCATTCAGCTAGGAATAATTTTCTATATGTTAGTGGATTTCTCTACGGGGACAAACGAACAGAGAGAACTACGGAAGACGGAAAGTTGAAAATGGAGCAAAGCTATGCAGTGCATTACATGATTTTTGTCACCGTACGACAGCCATCGTGAGCTGATATAGACAGGTCGGGTTTTAGCGATATCTATTTTTCAAACTTAAAGCTGCTTAGAAGAAGAACGAGAACAGCTAACTTTCACTAACTATTCACGGTAAATTGTGCGTTACGCATACGATCACTTTTTACACCGTACATCGTGGATTTAAGCCGTTAGGCACAACTTCAGATTGTTACCCGTACTATTGCTGTTGTTCCCGGCTTGACACCGATGGCGCAATGGCCTTAACCATTTTGTTTTACTGCGAGCTAGTATTTACGGCAAGTGACCTGTTCATTTTATGTAAAAGATGCGATGCATGATTCGATTAATAATATTGATTGACATAAGAAAAATTGACATGCTTGATAGCTTGAGATGGAACAAAGTGTGATACACAGAACGAGTTCACTTTAAGCAAAATAAATATTTGATTCTTCTGAGAACATCACTTCTAAAGAGATCATCAACCTGATTAACACAACTAGGCCAAATCTGAAATCACCATCAGAGCAATGGGTACCCATGTTATATCTCAGACTTACGCTGGTCATTAACCGCACTCGATTACAATCAATCCCTAGTTATCAATCAGCATTACTCAAAACGAGTTAATGGGTTGGGTTGTTTGTTTAAAAAAATATGTCCACTTAGTTACATTCATCGAAGTAAGCACATTGCAGATCACGGTATCGCTTTCTCTGCAGCACTTCCTTCTGACGGGAGGGTTGTACTCGTTCCTTACAATGCACGAGTTACCCCTAATATATGCACTCTGCTGTTTTAATTCACTTCCATATTCGCGTCTGATTGTCTCTACGCCCGTTGACTGAAGCAATTTCGTCCACACATCACTTTCTGTCTATTCCCACCTGGCTCTGTACGATAAAAATCAGTCACAATTTCAATTTACGCTGGCCAGACATCCCTCATTTCCAGTGAGCAAATATTTTTGCTCTAATATATATATATATATATATATATATATATATATATATATGTTAGTTTGAAACCAACGCCAACGAAAAAGGCGTGAATAAGGTCATTTTTACTTAGCTGCTCCGTTCACTGATCCGGCCTCGTTCTCCTCCTCCTCCCCCCCGTTGATTGCCTCAATATCTGATATAATGATCTGTGTATTCATATTATCTGGTCAGTCCTATTTTCCAGCGATGTGCTTTAAGGCCACCGTGAAAGCTTCCATCACTAAAGAGTACTTCATCATCCCAGACCTCGTCGAATGTGCTGATTGTTTTCGTTTGAGTTTCGGCCGCTTCGTTCACCACCCGGCTAATCTCTGTCTGTTTTCAAATGAGAAGATTTACATATTGTTACATCGTTTCGTCTGTTGCTTGGTTTCGTGGGTTAGCCGAATAGTGCTCAACATCGGCCATCGTTTCTCGAAGCTTTGGGTAGCTTTATCGAAACATAGCTTTAAGTCAGAGTAGTGGGTTTTACAAAATGCTGGAGGAAGAGACTCATACGCGAGGGTATACTGAACTATACGTACTATACATGGCGAAATGTGCTGAGCGACTGCGGTCAGTCGCAGCCCGGTTGTGTATTACTATAGTATGCGGAAAAAAAACGTAATCTAAGCACGGCCATACACGCATAGGGAATCTCTGTATTAAGTCGTTTGTATTCGCTCTGTCTCCTATCTTGACGTGTAGTGTGGTGTTATATAAACGAGTGCATTTTAAGTAGACGATTTTACACTGGCTCAAAGGCTATAGTAGGTCACAGATAACGCAAGGGTTCGACTAGTCTTCTTTTATATTTGAAAGCTAAAACATACCGCAGGCAAACAGGAACCAACAGCCCTGGCCACCTTCCATTGTTCAGCATCCGACTTCGGTTGCGATGGATAATGACCTAGGTTAAATGAAAACGGGGACGAAGGTTACGTACTCTCTTGGCATAGTGACGTTTAACTTTTCTTCACCAAGATCAACACATTTGAAGATCCTGTTCTGTGCACAAAAAAGTAGACAGAGACAGCTTCCGGAGGTTTAACCGTTCGACGAGCATGTCGCAAAATATGTTATTAGCATTAAAATCACCCAGGTCGACTGCACGGGACGTAACGAGACGAGGTAGCTAACCAACAGCGTTCCGCAAGAAGAACTGAACCACATAGGCTGGTTAAAACAAGCAACTAAAAATCGTTCAGTAGTCTCTACAAACGTGGAATTTTTCGCGTGAGCTGACCCCCTAAGCAAAAAACAAAATAATGACGCAATAAAGATTTTATTGTCTACCCGGGGGGCATCGAAGAAGGAACAACTTACACTATAATAGTAGCGTTCTGCAGACTTCCTTCGCTTATTTTGTTCAGGTGAGCGGTCGAATATTAATAGCAATAATAGTAATAGTGCTGAATATCAGCAACAACAACAACAACAACTAGCGTATACTAATGTTGCAACGTCACTGTGCTGTCGTAGGAAAAACAAAAAGGGTTTAACGTGTATAAAACCAGTGCAGTTAAGTGTACGATCTTCTTTTGCTCATGACAGCGTATCTATGCACGGTCTAGATGAAATCATAAAATGATATCATCTGTCAAATGAACCAGGTAACAATCTGATAAGGTTCAGACTCAGGTTCAGATCATATTACTGGCAGGCTTCGACCGGCTCTGTCCAATGAAGAAACCGAGTGTCAGAAAGAGCAACTATTCATATCACGCGGCAATTTTGAGTCTGCTAAATTCTTACAACATTCTTCATTCCGTGCGCTTGTCGAGAAGTCGACTAACGAGTAACGGTGACACTGCGAATTGGATGAGCGACCCATTAGTTCAGATAGATAATCATATTACAACTGAGTGACCGAAAAAGTTCTTATTTCTCATCGTACAATTAGGACTGGTTATTTACATACAAATAATAGATATTTTTTTTGAAAGCGAGTGCCTCATTAAGCCCGATTGATCACATTCAGCAATGACTTTGTTGAATAAACCGCTGGGTTGGGGATCATTATCGATGTTGTCTTCGAGCAGCCACCAAGGCCGAACCTAGGCGAAATTACTCTGAGCAACGACATCTTTTTGTCACTGAATCATGGGGAATATTTAAAAAAATATCACTATCAAAGTAATTTGTTTAGCAGTGATGTTACTTCCAGGTGAAGATCAATCCCGATTACAAACTAGCCGAGGCGACGTTCGATAATAACGCGGCTTCCTGTGAGCTCATCTACACCGAACAATATGCAGCCGTAAGAAATTGCCTCTATGAACGACCCTAAGGGAACAAGATTGAATTATATAATTAAGCCATTTCCTATGCGTGCTAGATTCAATCAATTGACAGCCTTCGTCCTAGGCCAAAACTGCCACTTCAGTATGAACGTGTTGCGCGGGAGAAGAATATCACTCTAATTTGATTTATTACACTGAACGTCCATCAAAATGTACATTGCCACTTTTTGGTGTGCCTCCTGATGCATATGCATAAAACAGAATGCAATTTACAGAGCTGAGTTCAACGAGTCTGAGAACGGCAAGCATATTCTTCAATTGGACATTATTAGCACGGCAATGCGTTGTACCGCACTGAAGATTCAAGATATTTATTAGATATTCTGTCTCTTAGTCTAGATTAAGACAGTTTTAGAAACCAATTCATATATATGGTGCACATGCACACGGATCATATATAATCACTTATGTATATAAGGCCATATGACTTACAAAATAAATTTACTGCGACTATAGATCATATCGGCAGTCGTTTTTGCAATAAATGACCGACTTGATAAAACAAAACAAACCTAATTTTTACTAGTACAACTTTAAGGAAACTTCAGTGAAGGTAAAAAGCACTAAAAATAGCTGTTTCTCGTTAGCAAATGGAACAGATCTGTGCGTTCGATCGGATTGTAGTTTGTGAACGGCGCTTCTGCGCGCGTCGCAGAAGTGAGACTTTTGCGTTATACTGTACCCACAGTTCGGATTAGCTGACTTTTTTTATTTCAGTTACATGCGTACTGCGTGCACAGAAGCTAAAACGGCGCAGTACAATGGAGACTGAACCCTTCCCAAAAGTGCGATACTCTTATTGAATTCGATCTCGTTTTACTGTAGCATTTGGTATGCACACATTTAGTCCAACGTAGTTCAACAATAAACTTCTTAAATAGTGGAGTCGATGGTCGTGATTCAAACCTGTGAAGTATGGCAGCCCCAGTAGCGCTTGTCTATGTGCTTTCTATGAACGCACACAAAGTACGACCATTGAGTCATTCGATGGTTTTAGATCCACGATCACTTCGTCATCCGTGCAAACGTAGAATACATTGTTTGTTCTCGTGATCCCGCCTCATACTTTAATTTTAAGCGATTCTCTTCGAATTTGTCAATGTCACGCCCATGCGTCGACCGAAACCAATAGAAAGCCAACAGGTTGGCCCCATTAATTAGCTTTTGAGGTAATTAAATGTGGAATGCCAAAACATGAGCGAGAGTAGTTTGCTAAGGATCACGAGGCGAAAATTAACTGCTTTCAATGCACGATGTACGATCAAGCGACCCCGTATGTTACCAGTAACAGTGAACTATCGAATTATAGCGGAATATTTGTGTTCCGTACACTGCGCGCCACATATAAACATTCTTTTCAAACAATGCGAGAGTTTGTATGTACCGAATTGCCTATTATTTCAAGTGGGTCAACAGCGCATTGTTTCCATGGCGCACAGCGTTGCGCAATTAGTCTTTAGCATCTATAATCTATGAGTTTGCTAGCAATTGTGGTGCACGTGTTTCTTTCACGGGTCACATATATTCACTTATGTACGCTTTCACAGTCTGCGTTTTGCCATTCTCGTTGACTGTCGTCGGGGGTGCTTGACACCGTGTTTAGATCATCGTCGAAAAGGTTAAATACCCCCTTCAGTAAACTTTTCCCGCTATTCATCCGCCGCTTCAAGTATCACAACACTGTCTGATCAACCATTTGCCCACTAGCAGTCTGCAGGCGGATGATTTCAGTTTGCTCTAGTCATCGAAACGTTTTATGTCATCTATTTCTGGTACTTTGCTACGGTCATGTTAATGTCTGTTGTTTGATGTTCCTGAACTGTTATATGTTCATACTAAGCTTTTAAATCCTTTCTGGGTCCATCTGTTCCTTTTGATCTGATCATATGGTCGGCCGTACACATGGACGTTGTTCCATCTATCTCTAATACGTCAAAGATCACTTTTAGTTTAATTGTCGACCAACTACTGTCAAAGGGAACAGAGGAAAGACCAGCTCAAAGCATAGAACGCCATGTACAACCAACCGCCATTGCTGTTCCCGCCACGTTCCCTGTGTACGTTTCTGCACGCAGTGGAAATGCCTGACACAAGAAAAGTGCCTGTCATAACACTAAGTATTTCAGCTTTTTTTGAGCAAGTCCTCAAGTGTTTAGCAGTCATCGCCCTCCCCGCTCCGTTTACTCCAAACTTCATTTCCTCTTCTCATGACTACCGGTTGTCAAAAATCATCAAGTGGCATGAGGTGCGCCTATTAGACGCTAGTTCAAACTTACGCCAATCAGGCCTATGCGACAGCTTCAGCTCTGCCGTCTGGCATGCCTTCCGCGTTTTCTTTGTCAAAAGCTCTGTTTTGCCGGTTAATACACAGTCTTCTCTCGCCTACTATATGAGAGCAGGGCGCGTGCGCGACGTCATCTGTGTAACGACGTCCGCCCTTCTTGACTGATCAATAACGAAAAAAAAAGTGGACGAGCAGAAAAAGAATCAAGGAATCGCCGCAGCAGAGTTAGCTAGCTGGCTAGACTCGATGGTTGGAAAGCCAGTTAGTTCACTGCTTCATCGTCACGGTTACCTATTATCTTGCCATCTTCTTCGTTTTCTACTGCCTTCGAAGCTAATACTGCTCCGCCGAAAAACCACTGAAAGCGCATGCGAAGAACAGGAGTGATAGCAGCTTGAAACGCCGTTCTTCTGACGTTTCTAGAGAAATAAACTCAAACACAAGTCAGGTCGCAGCAGCGAATGTGTGTACATAACTTGAACTCATGACGTGATAACCGGCGTTGTCCGTGTGACCATTAGCATCTTCGCCATCATCACCGTTTACCTGAACGGCCAGCAGCATTCGTGACTTTTTTAAAATCTCTATCTGTTTCTGCGTTTGTTTCATAGAGTGATGCTATTCGATAGATTCTCAATGCGTGCCATTAATTTTCTTGCGCGCTCTTCCACCATTGTCTTCGTCGAAGACCTAAACCAACTACACTTATGATGATGCTTTTTATGATGACGGGACCGGTAGAGCTGATCAAGCCGAACTGATCAACCCAGTAATTAACCTCTACGGATTGTTGTTCATGGGATCGTCACGAGGTCCGTTGGTGTCATTGCTGAGCGTCTGACAACGATCGACCTTGCTACACTAGAACCTACTGTAGAAATGCAATGCCCCATGTTACTATATGTTAACCTCTTTTCTCTACCCGTGGACTCCTTTCCTTGTTATCGTTACTTTGACGTGAGCTGCCACTCAGCCAGAATGGTCAGCTCGCCATTGTTGTTCTTCTTGTTGTGTACTGCTGATTCTGATTTGTTGTCGGTGCTGATCGCGCGGTTGACGGGGTTGTTGTTATTGCTGATTAGGATTTTTCGCAACATAATCGCCAGGTTTAGGTAATATCATCAAGTGTTGCCTGACAGCACCAAAAAGGTGACATTGGCGACGGGGAAGATCGACCGAGCAGAGCTCAAAGCACCATCCATGGGCAGCGCCATTTTGGTAGATGAAGGGCGAATTGCCCAAGCTGCCAGTAGGAGTTGCAGAAGAGCAGGAAAAAAAAGAATCGTGAAAGAACGAATAGCAAATCTAACAACTTTTGTTCCACTCTTTTTGTTTGTGGTCACTCTCAGTGGTCATTGATCTCCGTTCGCTGACAGCTCTGATAGGTGAAAGAGGGTCTGAGCGGCGTCACGTTTGCACACCTTATGTCGCATGTTGGAGCGCAACTAGACGTAACAATGGTCGCTTAGTGGATCGAGCACGTAGGGAATAGAACAGATCGGGTACAGACGATCAGCCGTAGGTGAGAGAGATGTACTGCAGAGGACTATGAACAGCGTTTACGGTGTCCTTCTTCCAGAGCGGGGCGCATAGTCAGAAATATGCAACTGATTAACGACGCGGTCGGCTGGTGCACTGAGAGAATAAGCCGACGCAAGAAAGAATATTCTTTTTCAGTGATCAGATAACGAAAGACAACGACGGCATAATATGAGGTCTCCAGACTTTGCGCAATTTCGTTGTCGTCAGAGAGGCCTGATTGATGGAGAAATCGGACTGGTAAATAAAACCAAGAAAAAGAGAGGATACCTGTTCCCGAGTGGCAGTTAGAACGCGTAGATCTTTGTGGTTACACGGTTCATAACAAAATTTGTTTCGACTGACTGTCCATAGTCGAAAATGTGAGTGTTTGCTTAGTTTGTTGCTGAAATTGAAACGCACATTGATGATAACCTGATTGAATATATTTTCAAAATAAGCACAAAAAATTATGAAATTTAACTGCAACCATTCGTGGGATAAAGGATAGTTTTGCAAATACAAACTATTCTTCTTCAAAATTATTTCTTTGAAATCGAGACTTTATATACAGCCAGATACTTAGTATCCGCGTTTCCATAAGCTGCTCAATGTAAATTGATTGGAATATGCTAGCCCACTGCTTAGGGCATGGAAAGACCCATAGTCACATGAGCTTTGGTAGAAAGAATAAGCAGGTTGTAGTCAACGCCGTTTATTACTTCGTTTAACCCAGCAAATAATTAAGGTGTGGTGATAAAGTTCAGCATTGTCATTAAACAGCGGTGCTTTCGATCGCCACATCGGAGTCTTATCAGAAATTCGAGATACCGAGCTGCATTAATCGATTAATTTTCGGCGAATATCTCATCGTAGCAGATGCCTCTGATATCTATTGCGAGTACTACCATGACGTCGCGAACCTACCTGACATTGCAACCGAACTTCTTCCTGGGGCGACACCATTGTTTCGCCTGACCCCCCTTCGACACACCGTAAAAATCTAAAATAGTCTGTAATAACCGTATTGGACTATACAGGTGGGTTTCTTGTTTATAGAAATCAATAGCAAACTGGCCTAGAGCCAATTAACGATGGGCCCATTTTTACATGTCATTATTTTCAGTATTCGAGTTCTGATTCTACAACATGCTACTTGTAAAATGCCAATTTTAACCGACATGATCCTTAGATTGGAAGCTCTACTTTTTTGCGACAATTCGTTTTTGTACTTCGGGTTTTGACATCTGGTCACTTTTTTATTGACCTTCAACACACCAGTCCCTGTGTTTATAGTGCCTGCACTATTTACGTACTGTACTTCGCCTAATGACTTCATCAATCTCTCATACATTTTCGCAGCACTGCAGCTCTCCCGAAATAAATATACCCGGTTTTCACTTAAAAATTTCTAGAAGACTGAACTTTTTAGCGGTCTCATTCAATTTTCTAGCGGCGCGTAATTCAAAAGATATTCAATTTCAAAGCCCGCCAAATTCGCTTTCGCAAATATGTATATTAAACCATTCTGGTGGTCGTTTTCGATCACAGCTAGAAATGCTCATTACGGTTCGCTAACATCGAAGCTGGCTAATTTTTTTTTGTCTGAAAT